AAAAAAAAAAGAAATACCTGAAGCAAATGTGCAAAAAGGGAACATTTGCTAAATCCAGATGGTAGGCGCATGGATGTCATTGTTTTCTGTATTTTTTACTGTTTCTTCTTTTCTTTAATAGAAAACAAAACACTTAGCCAGGCACAATAAATAAAAGCCGGGGTGGAGGCCTGGGGAGGTCTCTTGCGACCACACCCTTACTCTGCCCACAGCACCCCAGCCTGAGCCACTTCTGGGGCCTCAGACCAAAGCGGGGCCCAGACTGCTCTTTCCCACCCTCTTGCACAGGATGTGAGGGCTGGGAAGGCCCCAGAGGGACCCCTCTCCTCCTGCAGCCTCAGCCTGCCTGTCTGGGTGCCAGGCCCAAAGGAGCAGGGAAGGGGGCTCAGATGTCCCTCTTGGGCCCCAGGACTTGTTCCCAACAGAGCCCCTCTGCCCCCTCTGATGGGGCCTGGCGGAAGGCCACTGGGGGCTCAGGGACCTCTTCCCCAGCCTCCCCCCAGGCCTGGCTGACTCCCTAGGCCCCGACACTCTCCACAGGCAGCCCCCACGAGAGGGAAGAAGGAGAGGAGCCAGAGAAAGGCTATGTTGCTGCAGTCAAGGAGATGTGGGGTGCCTGCTGGGGAGTCCCCCTTTACATCTCCTGGGAACCTCCAAGCCCCGCCCAGCCCCTGGGCCCTGCCCAACCAGAGAGGCCGGAGAGCCGGAGAGCCACCCTCCCTGTTATCCAGGGACCTTGGGCTGTGAGTGGGGGCCAAGCCCTTCTCGAAGCCCAGCCTGGCTGTCAGCCTGGGAAGTCCCAGCCCTGGGAAAAGGGCAGCTGCCCTGGCTCAATGTCACCCACAAGTTTTGGCAATGCCTGGCATCCCCAGGGCACTGTGGGCAAGGCTCTGCACCGTCTCGGCCAGGACGCAGGTGCAGGGGTCACCGCCGCTCCCAGTGCACCAGGGAGGAGTCCAGCTCCCAATTATAGGCAATCCCACCACGAGGGTCAAAGAATCCTGGCTAGTCGTCACTGGGAGCCTCCAGTACCGTGAGCATAGGCTGCAGCTTCTCAGCAAAGAGGGTTTTCAACACAACACTCACCGAAATGTAAAGTATTTACAGATATTCTGGGTGATCCAGAGGGTCCACTCGAAACCAGCCCAGCCAAGCGTGCTCAGAGCCTGCATGAGGGAGTACATTGCGCATGAGAAAATTGCCCCCATGGTGACCACTAGCAGGTTACAGGTTGGCAAATACGCTGCCAGGCCGTCCCATGTCTGCCGCTGGGCTCAACTGAATTCTCTTTTTCTGTGATAATAATCATTGCACGAAGTTTCAGTTTCTTATAAAACAGGGCTTTGATTCCACACCATAGAATGACACGTTGTGGGGCTGGCCCAGTGGTGCAGAGCTTAAGTGCACACGCTCTGCTTCGGCGGCCTGAACGTTCGCAGGTTTGGATCCCTGGCGCGCACTGATGCACTGCTCGTCAAGCCGTGCTGTGGTGGCGTCCCATATAAAATAGAGGAAGATGGGCACGGATGTTAGCCCAGGGCCGGTCTTCCTTGGCAAAAGGAGGAGGATTGGCATGGATGTCAGCTCAGGGCTGATCTTCCTCACCAAAAAAAAAAAAAAAAAGAATGACACATTGAGGAAACAGAAAACAAACGATTTTAGTTGTCACAGAAGGAGAAAAGGACAGATGTACATAATATGCCTGGGATGCATTTGCGATAAGTAGAGGCCAAATAATTTCTCGGCATCCTGTGCGCAGGTTCCTTCTCCCCGCTGGGCCGGGCGCTGGTCTAGACAGCAGGGCAACCACAGGGACAGAGCACACAGCACCCCTGCCCTCATGGGCCTGAGATACTAGTGAGAGAGACAGACACGAAATAAGAACATAATGTGGTTAAGTCCAATAACCCGGGGGAGGAATGGAGAGCCTGCTGCTCTAGACAGTCGGCGTGGGCCGCACTGATGAGACGGTTTGAAAAGAAAAACATGGTGGGTGAACTGAACCTTGTTCTAAGGCCTCTGGGGCTCTGTGGTCAACAGGGCCGCGGTCACCTTGGGAGAAGGTGGTCAGAGTGATCAGGGGACAGTGTCACTGGTCTTGTCTGAGTAACACCGTTGATTTGAACTTGATTAAAGTTTTTTTTGTCTTTGATTTGTAAATTTAGTTTTGTTTTAGAGTTGTGTGTCCTCAGCAGGGAGGGTAGTCAAAATGTTTCACCACCCTGGGGCAGGAGCCCTGAGCTGTGGGAACAGTGGCCTCGGCAGGGAGAGGCTCCCGGAGGCCCTGGACCCGTCTGTGGGGAAGACCTGGGGCAGCCAAATTTTGAGGGACACAGAGGGTGGGGCCAGTGGCTGTTTACTAACCGGTTCTGAAGCATTTTGACACTTTAACCGGCTGGGTGGCCACCCAGGGGTGTCCTAGCTGAGTGTCCGCCCCGGCTCTGAGCTCTGGAATCCACATTTGAGTTCCAGGCCAGGGTGATTTATGGAAATATTAATATTTGCTGTTTTTTGTTTTTTTCCTTCCCTCATTCCAAGCAGGTAGCCAAGCCATCTGTATTTTCCTTGCCTCAGGGATTTTTCCAGAGCAGAAAATAGGAGCAGCCTGAAGTCACTGTCTCTTAGGTCTGTTGTGAAAGGAAACTCTTGGTGACTTGAGTAGAGGAGGAATGTGGCCTCAGACGGTGACACAAAAGGGGAGGGAGAGCTGGTCGGTCTACAAAGAGATGAGCCCCGTGAGGCTCACAGCAACAGACAACATTTGTGCATATCTGCCAATGTGTGTTTTACTTTGAACAATTCCTTTTGCCCCAACGCATCCTCCATTCAAACCAGACCCTGAGGGGAGCAGGTTGATCATTTTGTTACAAAGAGTGATGGCCCTTGCCACTAGCCTAGAGCCATCTCCCTCTTCTTGCCCACACAGAGGGTTTCTGTGGAGGGTCACCCCACCCCAGCTCTCAGCGGGGAGAGCTCTGATTAATATAAGCCAGTTGAAGCAAAGAGGGGCGAGGAGAACCCCAGCCCCACACTTCCTGCACTTTTGCAGTCTCGTGGGGATGTGGTGCCTCGGCCGCCATCTTGATGCCCCAAGAAGAAAGAGAGACATCCTGACTCAGAACCAGAACCCTCGTGAGCCGCTGAGCAAAAGCCTGCAATTGCACACCTCCACGTCGCTGCCTGCGTGCAGGCCTCCGCAGCTCTGCTTGTGTGCACTCATGGCAGAAAAGCAAATCCGCACAGTTTCGCCACTGCCAGCCGTGTGTTTCATTACAAAAAAGCATCTTAGCTGAAACAAAATAACCATAAGAATGGTGCTCGGTGTCCCCCATGTTCCCCTCCAGATCCACTCTCTGCCCTTTTCCACCCTGCTGGCCTCCAGCAGACTGACCCTCAGGGGCGAGGCTGCACGACATCTTCCCAGGCTCTCTGGCTTCCTTTGGGGTCAGCCAAGGGGAGGCCCCAGCAGGAGCAGGGCCAGGAGAGGGGAGGAGAGAGAGTCGGGTATCTATTCTCTGGTTCCTTCCCTGAGAGGCTGCTGTGGGTTGGCTACCTCCCTCGGCAGAGGCCACAGCTCCTTTCAGGTGGCTCTCTCTGCATGGCTACTCTTTCTGGGTTCCATAACTGCTCCCCCCTCATCCTTCAGCTCTCGGTGTGTCCTCATTATTGCTAGGACCCTTTGCACCTCACTATCCTTTGTTGGTTTCTCCAAACCCTGCCCACACCTTTGTAAAAATTCCCTTTATTAAAACTCTCCTCAAATAACCAGGTTTGAGTGTGCCATCTGTTTTCAGGCAGGACCATGACTGATATAGTAATTGATGCCCCAGGACCACAGAACATGGGATTCTGGGATGGGGTTGCTCACCTACTGGAGGAATCCGTGGATAACCTCTTTGCCAGGGAAGATGAGACCCTGGTGGTCCATGGCATGCTGCGGCATCACAGTTACTCAAATTAACACGAGGTGGCAAAGGCTGAAGCGCAGGTGGAAACAGGCACTGGAGGTCACGGGGCACTAAGTTCCTACAGCACCAGTGGTGCTCGTAAATATTGGGGAGTCATACAAATGGCCGATGAGCACATGAAGAGACGATCAAAACCAGCAGTCGTTAGGGAAGTGCAAATCAAGACCACAGTGAAGCATTGCTTCACACTCATTAGGATGTCTAATATAAACAAAAAACAGAAAATAACAAGAATTGGAGAGGATGTGGAGAAACTGGAACTCTCGTGCACTGTTGGTGGGCATGTAAAATAGTGCAGCCACTGTGGAAAACAGTATGGCCGTTCCTCAAAAAATTAAAAATAGGACTACCATATGATCCAGCAATTCCACTTCTGGGTATATACCCAAAAGAATTGAAACCAGGGTGTCAAAGAGATATTTGTACACCCATGTTCACAGCAACATTATTTACAGTAGCTAAAACATGGAAGCAATCCAAGCGTCCACTGACAGATGAATGGAGAAACAAAATGTAGTATATATACACAATGGAATATTATTCAGCCTTAAAAAGGAAGAAAATTCTGACATATGCTAGAACATGGATGAACCTGGAGGACAGTTTGTTAAGTGAAATAAACAAGTCACACACAAAAAATACTGTATAATCCCACTTATATGAGGTACCTAGAGTAGTCAAATTCATGGAGACAGACAGTAGCATGGTGGGTGCCTGGGCCTGGGGGAGGGGGCAATGGAGAGCTTAATGGATATAGAGTTTCAATTTTGCAAGATGGAAAGAATTCTGGAGATGGGTGGTGGTAATGTTTGCACAACAGTGTGAATACACTTAATACCACTGAACTGTACACTTAAAAATAGTTAAGATGGTAAATTTTACATTATATGTATTTTACCACAATTTTGAAAATTGAAAAAAAACCACGAGATACAACTTCATAACTATCACGATGGCTATAATTTTTAAAATGAGAAATAAGTTTTGGCAAAGATGTGGAGAAATTGGAATCCTTGTACATGGCTGCTGGGAATGGATAATGGTGCAGCTGCTGTGGAAAAGAGTCTGGCAGTTCTTCAAAAAGCTAAATATAGAATTCTCACATGAGCCAGCAATTCCACTCTTAGGTGTATAATTCCCAAAAATGAAAGCAGGGACTCAAACAGATACCTGTACACAAATGTTCATAGCAGCACTATTCCAAATAGCCAAAAGGTAGAAAAAACCTGAATGTCCATCGGTGGATGAATGGATAAACAAAATGTGATGTATCCGTACAATGGAATATTATTGAGCCATAGAAGGAATGAAATACTGATGCATCCTACAATATGGATAAACCTTGAAAACATTATGCTAAGTGAAAGAAGACAGTCACAAAGGACCACATAATGTACAATTCCATTTATATGAAACATCCATAATAGGCAAATTCATAGAGACAAAAATTAGAGGTGACCAGGAGCTGAGGGGAGAGAGGAATGTGGAGTTACTGTCCAATGAGTACAGAGTTTCTGTTTAGGGTGATGAGAACGTTTTGGAAACAGGTGGCGGTGATGGTTGTGCAACATCGTAACTGTAAGTAGTGCCACTGAATTGTACACTTAAAAATGGTTACAATGGCAAATCTTATGTTGTATATGTTTTACCATATTAAAAAAAGTTAATGTGGGGCTGGCCCCATGGCATAGTGGTTAAGTTCGGTGTGCTCCACTTCAGTGGCCCAGTTCACAGGTTTGGATCCCAGGTGCGGACCTACACCACTCATCAGCCATACTGTGGCAGCAACCCACATATAAACTAGAGGAAGATTGGCACAGATGTTAGCTCCGGGCTAATCTTCCTCACGCAAAAAAGAGGAAGATTGGCAACAGATGTTAGCTCAGGACAAATCTTCCTCAGCAAAAAAAACAAAAAACAAAACACAAAACAAGTTAATGTAATATACCAAAACTAATGATTCCTACACTTTAAATGGGTGAATTGTTTGGTATGTGAATTCTATCTCAATACAGCTGTTTAAAAAAATCTTGTGGAGTCAGAAGTCTTCTTCTGATGGCCCTAGAGGGCAAACCCAGGGAAGAGGAGCAGCTGAAGGATGTAAATGTTCTACCTAGAACGTGGGTTGACCATTGAAAGCCCTGAGCTTCGGAGGAGACCCTCATCTCCTGTGGTCACAGCATGGATGTGGCTGAGGACAAGCCCGGAGCCTGATT